TGTTACATTCAAAAAATCTCAACCTGTAGTTTTAGGGGGAAGCGGTACAAATTGCCACGTATATACTAAATCATATTGTATCACGCCTAGCTTTCTCCCCCCGGTGGACAAACGGACACTCCGTCCAATTGTGGATCCTCCCCCTCAAACATCGACTCACCTTGAATTCAAACATGCAGATCGCGATGCCTAGCTTTTTCACCCGAGTGGGCAAACGGGCACTCCATCTAATCAAGGCTCCTTCCCGTCATGCATCACCTCACCTTGAATTCAAACATCCAAAACTAATCGCACATGTATGTGTCCACCACCGGCCACGCCTCTACGTCCTCGTTGTTCGATAGCGAAAACTTGCTGAACAACGCATCGGAAAATGTCGGTGACCCCATCGACAATCCCCCGGCTCGCAGCGGCAACGCCGGTCCCAAGCTCAACCCTCGCAGGTTTGCTCGACCCCCTCCCTTCCCGCCTCCTCAAAGAAGCTCCCCTTCTCGCTCCCCGCCTCAATTAGTGACTCCTCATCTGTTATCGAAAACCTCAAAAACTCACTCCGTAACACCAGCGAGCTGGACGGGCTCAAAAAGAAATTATTGAAGACATGCAACCTTGAGCTCTAACCACCCCTAAAGCTGTGGCTCCTCTAATACACCCCATCCGATGTGCCAACTACAAGCACCTCCGCATCCTGCAAACGTGCACTACAAGAAGAAGATCCCAAAACTCAGACTCGTCTAAAACGCGCAGTATACGTCACCGGTAAGCCCTCCGCTGTCTCCGTCGGGGTTGCCTCCGCCGTCGCCCAGGTCAGCAGAGGAATAGGGAAAAATTGCGGGGTCATTTGTGAAGAGTGCAATCTGGGAAAAATTGCGGGATCATTTGCGAGCAGGTCGATGTGAAGAGTGCAATCTGGGATGTCGCTGCAAGCAATGCCACAGCAAGCGGTGCAGGCTCGAAGGCTGGGTGGACACCAGCAGTCGTCGGCGATGCCAACACATCGGCGGCATTTGGATTGTTAGAACTCAATGCCAACGCTGTCAAAACTAAGCGCAAGAGAGCATTGGAGGCTGTACTCAGGGATGCATCTGGGGTCAGCATAGACGTCGCCAGCGGGAGTGCATTCAAAAGTTGATGATGGAGATTTGAGGTGCACGTCCGGCATCGGCTGCGTAGTGGCTGCAACAACAGTACACGACGGCATCGTCGCTGCTGCGTTGGTGCTCATAGAGCATGCCCAGGATGATGGGATCACAAGGAGCGATGGCAGGTGGAGGAGAACCAGGACGGGGAGGCGATGGTGCAGCAGGTGGAGAGCGAGCAATTCAGGGGGCAAAGCCAGACCTAGACTAGGTGAACGACCCGTCTGTCGTGCATTGTTTTGACTAAGCAAAATTTGGTACTCATTTCAACTCTATACACAATTCTCACATAATAACAAATATGAAACTCAGATTCCGAATTAAGGTCTTCAAACCCTAAACTACAAAAAATGAAACACATATTTTTGAAAAACAAAAATATTTTTATAGCTCTTTAGGACAATATAACTCTTGGCAAAATTCCAGAACGGAAAAAACTGTGATACATTGAGAGATATTTAGGATCAAAAATCTCTAGGACACTCTTGTAACCCTAAATCCTAAACCTAGTGATGCTAAAAAACCAGGGACACCTTAAACCCTAAACCCTAAAAATATTGATGCTAAAAAATTGGAAACATCATTGTAACCCTAAATCCTAAAAATATGGATGCTCAAAAACCGGGACATCCTTGTAACCCTAAACCCTAAACCTTGATGAAATTTGGTTTATAGCCATCTACAAGTTCTATATATGTTATAGATAAGTTATAGATGGCTATAAACCAAATTTCATCTATACATAACTCATCCATACAAAGTCTAAACAATAAGTGTCATGTTATTTTGGAATACTCATATATAGTCCTACAGTGTATCAAAATTAATAATGCCAAAGTCAACTTGCTACAAAAGACAATCCTAAATCCACAAGAAAAGTCAACTTCTATACATCTCAAAAAGTAAGCATTTGTAGAAAAATCTAAGACCACTAGTAGATTCTTCATGTTTTAAATAAAGAAGGTATGTATACTTAAATTTTGAAAATAATGAGTTCTTTAAACCAAAGATTCCAAAGTCAAATCCTTGATATATTCTAAATAGTATAAGTAGAAGTAAATTTTATTTCACCATTGAAATCACAACTCTCAAAAATGGAGAGAGAGAGAGAGTAGATTACTTTTAAATTCTAAATTCTAAAAATATAAGAATTTACCAACCATAAAATCTATTATTAAAGCAACTATATCATCAAAATTATATACTTTTCAAAAAAACTAAATACACTATTAGCTTTGCAATATTTTAAAATAGTGAAGTAAGTCAATTCAAAATATTGAAATTCTTAAAAAATAAAAAAATCAATTTTATCTTTAAAAGTCAAAATGTCTATATCTACCAAATAAAAAAGACATAAGTAAATTTATTGCACCATTAGAAACACAACCCTCGAAAATAGAGGGAAGATAGCTCAATTCAAAATTCCAAAAAAAAATATGCCAATTTTTTTTAAATACACATATAATCCTAATTCTAAACCTAGTCTCCATTGACATAACCTTCTACTATAAGTCAATATGAATTCTGAAGAAACCTAACTCATTATATTTTGGTAAGAAGTTGTGGTCTCTTTTGCAAGCTATCTTGATTAAAGTTGACCTTCCACAACACTTTAGAATAGCTTTTGTGAAATTAATGTTGTTATTTGTGCATAAACATTTTCTCCATATGGGTTTGAGGTCTTCCTATCTACCATTAATTCTGAGAGTAGCACAAAGGACATTTAGGTAGGTCTTTAGTACATATATTAGCAGTTTTTCGTGATTAATTCATGTTTATATTGCTACTCAGGATATGAAAAGTTTTTGAATGGTAGGATAAACATGAATTCTTTGAAGGAGATTGTTTCTAGATGAATCGATAAAGTTTAAGAGCGAGGTCCAAATTTTCAGTTATTGATTATGCAGATGTGCCTACAAAGGATTGGAGAAGCTTTCGAGGAAGTGTGCCAAATACCTACTTTCCTGGTGAGCCGTCTGTTGTCTCTTCATGCGTAGAGCTGCTTGGGTTTCCGATTTGAACTGGAAGCAGCAGATGTGTTCTGTAATTATGCCTTTAGAAGATCTAGGAAGCCTAAGGACTACATTTTACTGCAAAGGAATGGACATTATTGTTAACGGATGGCAAAAGTATGAAAGTGCGCAGAATGAGCCTTTAGAGCATTGATGTTCAGTAATTGATGTGTGTTCATACATTCTTTTATTAGTGATTCACTGCTGGATACAAAAATGCTTCACAATTGTCCCTCGTATTGTGGGACAATTGCAGATCGGAGCTAAAGTTACTCCGCCATTGAGACGTTGATCAAGTGTCTATCACTGACAGCAGATTTGATAATCGTCAAAGCTCTCAAGTATTCACAATCTGATATTTATTTTAGCAAGTGTGACAAGCCTTGATAAGGAAATATGATGCAAGTACTGAGGTGGCTAATGTTGCCTTGAATATCTGTTTACATGTACAATGAACAATTTTTGGCATAAAAAGTTGTAAGATAAACCTACACAGAAATTTCATAAGATTATTGCTCCTTGCAATCTGCTCCAAAACGCCCTTGGTCCTGGCCTCAGCTAATGATGCTCAATGACTTTAATTCCTTCAGAGAGGGTCGGTTGCACATGACTTCAGAAAATGCGTCTGGAATCTGCTAAGAAAATCTGATGTACGCAGTGCAGAACTTCGTGTAGCTCCACCAACCCATCTAAATAACTCGATCCAGAGACTCACAGGCTTGTCTGTGCCTGCACGTGAGGCTTGCTACCTCCAGTGCAAATCTAGAAATCATAAACCAAGTCCTTTACTTTCTACAATAGTTCTTCCGTCCCAGTGCACTGCAGGATAGCCACTTCGCATCGAGTGATGACTCTTCCAGTACCTTTTCCATGATAGGTGAAAATGGAGGGAGTGGATTGAGGGAAGCTGCATTCACACTACTCGTTTGTGTGCGTCTTGCAGCGGGTTTAGAAAACAAATTCATAAGTAAATCTGTAGATTAGATGAGTTCTCAAGACTCCCATTGCCTGCCATTCAGCTAAAATCAAGACCCAAGAAATAAGAGTTTTCTTACCATCAAAGCCGCAATCGAAATGCTCATTGGATTTCTAGGGTCTTTCAAAACGACACGCAATTTCAACCAAGAACTAGCGCTTAACTGTAGGAGCTCCCTTGGAAGTGAAAATATTGTGCTTTGAGAGAATCCACACGAACTATGTCTGAAGCATTGGAGCAACAAAGAAGACAGGGCTCTAGATCCAAAGATTGCCCTCCCTCACGACTTCAAGACTCTTCAATTGGGGCAAGTCATACATATACAATAGAAACTGAAAGCGGTCGTCAATTTGTCCTTTCTTAGGGGAGTTTGCAAAACGATGCCGTACATGACGCCTGCTCTATGAAGCGCTACTTCCTTGCCTTAGATCAACATCGATTTCAATTTCAGCAACGGCTCTACATTACTAATGTGAAAGTGTCCCGTGTTCTTGAGCTTTGGGTGCGCTACTGACAGGAGTAGTATGTAAAAAAGAAAGACTTATTGGTAAGCTTAGTCACCTATCTCAACTTGTTAAGGACACTCTTGCGCTCCTCATCACTTCCTCCATATTTGATTTCTGGACATAACACATCTAACATTCGGAGGTTCTTGCACTGTCTCAAGTATGGCATGCACACCAGTATCGCAATTCCTCACTGAAGAGGTGTGATGTTTAATTCTGACAAGAAATACTCACCAATGGAGTACACAATCTCCACTATTTTACATACAATTGCACATATCCAGGTGACGTTCACAACACAAACTAGGAAACTTCTGCTCACAGATTCGAAATTAACCAATGAATCAGATCAAAGGCAGCCTCAACACTATTGAATTGGTGTTATATAATCGGGACAAATTTTATACAGTACTGGCAAGAGCATCACATACACACAGGATTACAACAGAAATCATCTGTGGTTTACGCACACAGAAAGTTTCTCATCTTGATCACGCTACTCAACATCTAAGCCCTGTCCATTTCCTTACTAATAGCATCTAGGATTGACATCTAAACACACAGATAAAACTATGTACTTTAACTTTCAAAGAATTTAACATACCAACTCGTTGCAAATCCGTCACATAACATCAAAGTAACTCAGTTTTAATGTTCACATTTTAATGTTCATGCTGCAATGCTAAATCTTCTACAAAGCAACATGCTATCAACCTCTAGAGGGTGTTACGTTTCTGTATAACCATCCAACATGTCATTTCGTAAAGTGGTCCATAGCGGATCAATTAACGGTGACGAATGCTTACTTTCAACAAGAGCAGCGAGTGTACTTCGGTCCTGTTCCCCAGCTTCTTGAACCAGGGTATTTAATGCTCCCCACCATCTTTCCCATACCAAGCCAGTTGCAGGCAACACACCTGATCGTTGCAACGCGTCTGTCTTAGAACTACCAGCAGCTACAGACGCCACTGCCGCAGTTCGATTTCCGAATTTTTTCACGCCAACTATTTGTATACCGTACTTACCAATGGCCTCTTTTGCAATTGCTCTCTTGCCATCCCAACTACCCTTCAACAGATCGACCATTGCTCCGAAGAAGATTGCTATCAACAACAATAGTTGACCAATTACTCCCATAAGTGGCACCACTAATATCACTACAGCTGAGTAAGTCATCATAGCCACACACACCATAAACAACGGAAGAGGCTTAGTAAAGCCGGTTTCTATTAATTCCCTTTGCAACAGTCTCTGAATAGCATCCTCGCTGCCCCGTAACACGCAGAGTGTATCTGGTTCATCATTCAGCAGTATCAAAGAGTCTCCAGGAGGCGAATCTTGTGCTGCTTTCGTGCGAATGAACTCATAATTTCTCAATCGAAGTAAAACTCCCAGCGCGGCGTTAAAAAACATGCCAGTGCCCACCATCAAAAGGGAGAGCCATTCATGATATTGCGCATCCAGCAATAACACTAGAGCACAAACTACTATTGCTACCACATTCAGCAAAGCCCCTCGCTCGTCTGAAACAGCCACCTCACCGTTAACACTTTCCCCTATGTTTGCCCAGATAACATATGTCGGTCGAGCAGAATCTCTTCCTACTTTCGTTTGGGCATCTGCTCGTTTCCTGCCTTGTGTCACAAGCTCAAACACCAAAGCCTCTCCCACAGCACCGCGGACAGGCAGACTTGTTCCTGATCTCAGACCAACATAGGTGTTCCTAGAACTGACCTTCAAACGGATCAGCTCTAACATCGACCTAGATTCGCCGGCACCTGTTAAAACTCGTGCTGGCCACCACTCAATGCAGGTTACAACTGCGTAAGCAAGCCCCAAGGTCCCTGAAGTCACATAGGCGTTTAAATAAGGCATCCGACTCCGAACAATATAAGTGTACGGGATTCCTGCCACGGATGCACTACTGCCCACCAAAACAAAAATACCCACCAAATCGAGACTGGGAATGTGGTTTTCTACTCTGCAAGACACAGTTTTCTGATAGGGTACATCAGATCCCTGCCAGAATCGCATGATCATTGCCGCTGTGCTGTCCCTATTACATACACAATAATGAGAGTCGCTCGTTAAAGCTCAACAGTTACTACCGCAAGTGTGAAATTAGGTCTTCCTCTTCTGGCTTCTATATCATCTGGGCGGGAAGCTACCACTTGGTTGTCTTCGAAGTCGAGGGTAATCTATGTAACGGCGAAGTCGTCCTGAGGAGGCGCAAGAAAGGAACGAAAACGCAGTAGACCGACAAAAACTTCAAACGCAGAGTAAACAGTCAGGTGATCTAAGACGGCAACGCAGTCTTTATGGAGGCCCATGGGAGGAGCAAAAACTTGGCACAGATAAAAATACCAAACCGAATTACAAAGTCGAAGATGTACCCAACATATTGAAATCGTACCAGCAGTGCTCAACACACTCCTTGTCTGAGCAGCGTCCAGGCGGAACACAACGGACATTCCTTCCGACTTAACATGCATGACAGGGCGTAGGATGCCGAACGATTGATGCTTTCCAAGAGTCTGCAAGCACGAGAGACGTGAATAGTTAAATGACCTCCGGTAAAGGTACCTTATTCAAGGCCAGCGTGCAAAGGAATTTTGCTGAATCATACTCAATAGCCAGACCTCTCAGCCTAGCCAAGATGCCCTATGAGGTAGATGACACATTATTGTCGGAAATAGGGCCGCTGCTTGTTAAGTTCACAGCTAGCTATGAACAGGATGAGAAATTGCCTCTATTTGGAATGGATGTGGGTAATATTTCAAAAATTCACTATGCATTAGTGGAGTTGACTATTTAAGGCAGCTGTTTATCCATCTTTGGGTGATTACTTTGTGATCATGTTAAAGTTGGTAAGGGTGGTGATGATTTGTCAATTTGCAAGGAAGACATAGTAAAGTTCTTGAAGGCTTTGATTGAAAATTAAATATAATTGATTTTCACTTCATGTTCTCTACATTTGCAACTCATGTAATTGGTGAGTTCCAACAAGCTTTTGAATGAAAACAGGTCAAAGTATATCATATCTGGTGGACATATAAGCACATAAATCATCAAAAAATTTAGTGTTGTAATATAATTATCACCTTTATGAAGATGTGAATTAATACATAGTTGCATAAGGACAAGGTCTTGTATACAATTGGTAGTTCAATTATAAAGTTATGAGACATAATTGTTATTGAAAAAAGAGAAATTAGAAGGCACAATACTTAGCATCAAGAAGGTTGTACACAAAGAAAAGTGTAGAATAAGATGACTCTTACTTCCAATATTCTTTACTTATAGCTTGAATTTACATCTATTATAGATGAACTTCATCTATAACCATGTTCATCCTTGTTTATTACATCTATCTAAAACCTAGATTTATCTTAACCTAGTTGCTATCTCAAACCTTAACTGCTACCATTGTAACTTATCTAAATCCTTTATATTAGTGATCCTACTACTGCCTTGTATAGAATACTTTGCATTTCACCTTCAACTTTTGTATACTCTTCATTTGTAAGCTTCATCAATTTTAAATTGGCCTCCAAAGTTATTTCAATGGACTTGCATTCTTTGATATTGAATTGTTTCAACACTTCTTTAATATACTTGCTTTGGCTCAATATAATGGTCTTTTTAGTGCAATCTCTTACAAATTCTACTCCTAAGCAATAATAGAGGTCTCTCAAATCATTCTTCTCATTCTTCTTTTTTAATATGATCTTCATCCAATCCATCTTTTCCATATTACTAGCCAAGATGATTAAATCATTAACATAGAAGATTACAACAAGTAAAAATTCTTTAAATTGCATCACATATAATGAATGATTATTGTCACTCCTTACAAATCCCTTATTGACAAAAAAATGTGTCAATATATTGATATCATACTCTTCGTGATTGTTTCAATTCATAAAAGAATTTATTCAATTTGCACATAAGGTACTTTTTGCCTTATGGTATAAATCCTTAAGGTTGGTCTATATGGATATCTTCTTATAATTTTTTATTCAAAAAAGATTATTTTTATATCCATTTGGTGTATTTCAAAGTCCATTGCTACCCTAATTGCCATAATGGTCCTAATAGTGGTGAATTTCGAAACTCGTGCATAAGTCTCATTAAAGTCAATATCAAAAACTTGTGGATATCTTTTAGCAACTAATCTTGCTTTGTGCCTCACGACCATACCCATTGCATCTCTTTTAGTCTTAAATACCTATTTACAACCAACACTAGATTGATTTGCTGGAAGAGGTGTCAATTCCCATGTATCATTATGTATAAGAGATTGGTACCCTTCTTCCATAGCCTTCTCCCACTTGATTATAACTTGGGATTTTATAGTATCATACAAAGATAACAGATTAACAAGATAAGCAACATTTGTATGTTCTTCACTTACTTAAGAAAGTATTTGGTTCTTCCACCATTTTCTACATGGCCTTCTTTCTCTCAATTGATATCTCCTTTTATTTGTAGAAGAAGACTCACCTTCTTGTACTCCAAGCTCTTTTTGAAGCTTCTTCTCTCTTAAAGCTTGATACTCTTCATCATCATCATCATCATAATCTTCAACATCTTTATTGACTTCATCTTCTTGTTTCTTTGTTGAATTTGAAGCTGTATCTATAAACACACCATTATTCTGATTAGGACACATCTCTAAGTGCTCAGAAGCACTATTATGCTCCAAAAACTCAATATCATGACTTTTAATGATCTTTGGGGTGTCTAAACATATTAGCCTATATGACTTGGTAACCTCACAATATTCCAAAAAAACACACTTTGTATCTTTTGTATTAAATTTGGACCTCATACAATCTAGTATCTTTGCATATGCAATGCATCCAAAGGTCTTCATATGTGAAATGTAAGGTTATCTTCCACTTCAAGCTTCTTGTAGTGTCATTGATGCAAAAATACTTGTTGGACACTTATTTCTTATATATAATGCACTCACTACAATTTTGGCCCAAAATTCATAATGAAGGTTTTGAGCAAGAAGCATGTTCCTTGCGATCTCCACAATTATTCAATTTACCCTTTCAGCAATACTATTTTATTCTGGAATGTATGGAGTTGTTTGTTTAGAAATTCCTTCATTCTTCAAAAAAAAAAAAGAACATCAAATTACTTAGACATATACTCACTTCCATTGTTTGTACATAGCATCTTGATCTTGTAGTCACTTTGTTTCTCAACAAGTGCTTTAAACTCCTTAAACTTCTAAAAGCACTCATTTTTGGATTTAGGAATATAAATCCAAATCTTTCTTGAAAAATCATCAATAAAAATGAAGAAATACCTTATTCTTTCAATACTTGTGGTCTTCATAGATCCACATATATAAAAATGGACCATCTCCAACAACTTTGTAATACATGTTGTTGCACCACTTGGAAATCAAGCCCTTTATTGTTTATCTTGTATACATCCTTTACATACAAGTTGTATTATATTTTGGCTTGTATTGCCAAGATCTAAGCTACTTATCATAGACTTAATCATTGCCATCCTCTTCACATTCAAATGGCTAAGGAGATAATATCATGTATTCAACTTATTTTCATTTGATGTAAATTCAACAAATGTAGCTACTTCCACTACATTGACCTTCTTACATTTGAGGTAGTACAAATTCCCCTCTCTAGAGTCCTTGGCAACTATGTTTCTATACAATATTTTTACAAAACATCTATTCATATTGATTTAAAGCATAAAACCTTCTATTATAAGTTTATTCACTGAAAGTAGGTTTTGTTTCATCTTAGGCACATGGAAGATATTTTTGAATCTGATTCTATTGATTTATCCATTCACAACCACTTCGACCATAATAGAACCAATTCCAATGTCTTCACATATATCACCATTTGCTTAAATCATATTTGATACTAAAATAGCTTCATAAGTATGAAATAAATAATTATAAGATATCATATGCTTGGAATAATATGAGTCTACAATCTATCTTGATATTGTAGCTATAGAGATACCATTTGCTATAATAAATATATAATCTTATCCTTTAAACTCATCTTATATACTCTTTACATTCTTCTTTTCCATCTTTTGATTTTGTAGCAATTTCAAGCAAAATATCCTACTTTGTCATAAATGAAGCAAGTTTTGACATTACCTTGTTGGTTTAAATAGTTGTCCTTGCCTTATTGTGAATAGAGTATTGAATCTTCTCTTTGAAGCTCTTTTTATTTCTTCTTGATTACTTTATGGCTAAATGTTTGTATCACGTAGTCTATTGTGAGTTCTTTCAACTTGATGGATCCCAAAGCCACAATGAAGTAGTTGTAGGATTTTAGAAAGCTCATGAATAGAGTCATGACCATATTTGAATCTTCTAAGATCTTGTTTATAATTACAAGTTGGTTTGCAAGTGCCTTCACTTTATTGATGTATACCATGAAGACTTTATCTTCTTCCATCTTGCAAGTGAAGAACTTCTTTCTTGTGTAAATGATGTTGGATAAGTTCTTGCTTTCATAGATGTTGTAAAGAGTCTTCCATGTATCTATTGGTCTTTTGCAAGAGATAATGTAGGAGAAATTGGCTTCATCAATACTGGTTGCAATTAATCCAAAGGCCTTCTTTTTACAATTTTTGTATTCCTTTTCTTTCATATGAGCATGCATACTTGGAGGCTCTTCACTTTTATCTATAATATCCCAAAGATCCAAAGAAATCAAGAAAAATTCTATTTTTATCTTTTAATGGTAGAAATTTTTATCTCAACTTTTCAATTGCTCTTAAGCCTTCACCCTCACTTGAAGCCATGTCTAAAAGAGAAGTATATCAAAAAAAAGATCAAGAGAAATAGTCCTAAAACTTTCAAAATTAGCAAAAAGATATTGCTGATTTATAATTTTAAAATCCTTCTTTTTGAATAAACTAATATTTTGACTTTCGAAATACTCTTAACTTTACTTCTAGAACTTCTCATAAGTCCTAAAAACTATATAAATATCTCAAACTAGATTTGCCACTCTTATATCACTTTTATACTCACAAATCACTTCTATGCACGATAAGAGGCCTTTTAAGTACCTTAAGCTTCTTTACCACATGAAACTACAAAGATAGTCTATCAAAGATTTAACTCAGCAAGAAAATAAAATACTAATATCCTATAAAATTATTTTAAGATAAAAACAAACATCAAATCTAAAATATTCTTAACAAGAAGTAAGAGCAAACTAAGATTTAGATCTAGATTTGAATGTAAAAGTTAGGAGATTCTAAACCCTGATACCAGCAAAAACAACATGATCTATTCTACACAACAACAAAGAATTCATAGAACTTTAAAACACTTAAGCAAATATGAGTGGGTCCATAACTTATTAAAGAAAGAAAAATTAAAAGCCACAATACTTAATATTAGCAAGGTTGCACACAAAGAGAAGTGTGGAGTAAGATGATTCTTACTTCCAATAGTCTTTATTTATAGCTTGACTTTAGATGTATTATAGATGAATTTCATCTATAATTATTTTTATCTTTTTTTGCTATATCTATCTAAATCCTAGATTCATCTTAATGTAGCT